CGGTAGGCAAATAAATGACCATAAACAAAGTACAATTCCTCTCTTGTGCTTTAAAAAAGTTATAGCCATGGGCTTTGGTTGTCACACAAATGTTCACAGGTATTATATGTCAATGTATAATAAGTTATTTATGTCTTATTAGTTAGAGACAGGAGAACTCAGAAATGTTGGCACTAGAAAGAAGAAAATCAGAAGAAGCAAACAGAAACATGTACTTTTTCCTTATTGTGATGATGAGCAGAAGTTATGTTATGTTCGAATGAGCTTTCCTTTCACACACTTGTTTTGATCCTTTACCTCTAGGAGGTAAGGTAAATTCAAGGTAAAAAATTCAAGAGACTGAAGGTAAATTCTAGGCTGAGGGTAAAGCCAACAGTATCCATTTTCTTATGATAGGAAGGCTACAGCAATTGTAGCTTCATGTTAAAGGTCCTTCCTCTTACAAAATAGGACTCTTATAGTATTCAACCTAAATATTCTGCCCTCACGGTTAGGAGTCATAAAGAAACATTCTAGGCTTCTGGATTCTTTTGGATCAGTGTCCAGGGCTTTTAAAGAGAGTATACAAGAACTCGTGGTATATAGTTGATGCCTGAACAACGTGGGATTGGGGATCCCAATCCTGCTATGGCAGTCGAAAATCTGCATACAAGTTTTGACTACCCCAAAGCATAACTACTAATAGCCTATTATTGACCACAAGCCTTACCAACAACATAAACAGTCGATGAACACATATTTTATGTTATTTGCATTATGTACTGTTTTCTTACAATAAGGTAAACTAGAGAAAAGAAAATATTAAGAAAGTCATAAGGAAAATGCATTTACAGTATTTTACCGTATTAAAAAAAATCCATGTATAAGCAGATCCATGCAGTTCACACCTGGGTCATTCAGAGGTCAGCTATATTTGATATCTCCCTGGCTTCAAGAATGTAGAAAAATCATCTGAGTGGAGGAAAAAGCTCCATTTTTAATAATCACTGACAGGGCCATAATTAGGTCAGGGTGACCAGAATTATGTCACAGGACACCCAAATTTAGAGAGCACAAGTTTAAGGAAAAAAAACTGTTTAAGGCAGTGTAAAATTTTAAGCATCTCAGCAAATTTCCACACCAACTTTCCGGTCACAAGACTACTAGCTTGCCTCCAGAGACAGGCCAGCTTCCCTGGTAGTCGACAGAAATAGATAGTGCTGGAAAGCCAAGGTCAAGGGCAGAGACTTCACTGACCCTGATGTACTGAAGGCTTGGGAGTAGGGTTGTCTCCTCCTTTCCACTTGCCTCATCCTCTCCCTGGCACACAGTGGACTAAAGTTGCTAAAACTGATGGTCATATTTAGTTATAGTTACTAAAGACCTTACGAGAGGTTTGACCTAGGTCTCATGTGTCTTGTCGTTGTTTACCCACTTCCTGACGTTTGCTCACTAAAAGTCATGGTGTGAGGGTCAGCCTCTACCCTGGGAAGATGAAGAAATAAGCACAGTACTGCTCTCAGTCCTTATTCCTTCCCACATTTGTCCTCAGGTTCTCACAAAAGTCTTTACAGCTCTTGATCTCTGGAACTCTATAAACAGAGCAGATATTATTACCTGGTTCTTGTGGGAAAGTTTTTGTAGGAATAAGAATTCCCTAACGTCTTGGTGGACTGCAACCTTTTTTCTCTTAGGTCCCACCTAACAAGGATTTGTCGGTTAAAAATTTCACAAAGTCAATATTTTTAAATATAAAAATTAAAATTACAGATGGCTGATTTTTGAAACCAAGAACTAGAAAGATGTATGTAATAAAATTACAAAACTCTGATAGTTGCTGACAAGAAGAAATGTCATTGATAATTTTTCCCTATTTGGAATAGTCTATAATGCTTCTGTAGAGCTTTTGACTAGTCTAAGAATATTTTTGTCAAATTCAGAATCTTGGGATTTCTTCCGTTATTTTCCACATAGATTGTTAAACTATGTTGCCCATTGCTTCTGGTACAAGTTACATATATCCTAAAGAAAGTCTGTAGCCAAGTTTTGATGTCATGAGACATCAAAACCCCAAATAGGTATAGTCTGAATATCTGATATTTGGAGTCATTTGTATCTTTTTGGAATATTTACCTTGTTAAAATGAAAGTGAACTATATAGAAACAAAATCCCAGCAGGGCACTCCTTAACTTCATGTGTTAGTTGCAGTTCAGATGCACAGTGTTATATAAACTGTTGGTAATACTCTATATAAAGCATATGTATCCATTGTCCTCTTCCATATAAAAATATTTCATATAAAATCATTTTTCTATTTTAGAGAATGACTTAATCCTTCACTCATCTTAATTTTGCTAATGTGTGATTAAAATTAAACGGAGGTCACCCTTACTCATGATCTTTAGACTCAATGTAATTCTCAAATTGGAGCTGATCCAGTACCTGTTTTCAGTTTCTTCACCCCCTCTTTTGCCCCCAAGGAGCGACCTAGGATTTGTCAATAAAAAGCAATTTAAAAATTAGAGAGGTTGATTTCATCTCTTGACAGATGCGTTGTAAGTAATGAATTATTTTCTTATTGAGTGTTTCTTCTATAACCCGAATATCTTCTCAGTTAGCCTTAAGAGTCATTAGTATTAAAATATAATTGGCCAAATTTAGCAAAGCATGAGGCCCAATTCTGAAGTTCTCAGTTTGAGATAAACAAAATAATAGGTGTTTAAAATTCAACTTCTTAATAATAATAGAGTATTCCAGACCATTCTCCAAGGTAATTCTGGAGAGATCCTCACACACGTATTTCAAGAAGGACACATATGCATAGCCTATGCTACAATGCCCCGATGTACACACACACACACACACACACACACTTCTAGGTTTAGATATGTCAATCTAACCACAAGAAAGGGAATTGCATGGCACACCTATGAGTTGTCAGTATAAAATAATGCCCACTACAATTTAAGAAAACATTCTCATTCAATTGTAGTCATATTTTGAATGATGTGCGCATGTATATGTATCCTTAAGTGAAGACAATTTGGGGCAATCAAAGTATTCTTTTGGTCTAATCTAGCATATTCAACCTTGATGCTAGTAATGTTTTAGACTGGGTATTTCTTTGCTGTGGGGGCTGACTTCTTCACTGTAGAATGTTTAGCAGGATCCCTGGCCTCTGTCTAGTAGATGCCAGTAGCACCCTCCAAATCATGACAATCAAAAATGTTTCTAGACATTGCAAAATGTCACCAGATAGGGGAGGGGAATCACCCTAGTTGAGAAGTACTGGTCTAAATAAACATTATTATCTTGGGCCATTTCTGTTTGCCTCTCTGAAGACACAAATGTATAGACTAAAAATCTCACAATTATTATATAAATCTATCCCCAAAATCATAAAAGATGTAAAATTTCCAAATAGTAGTTTCAGTGGAACTGTGATCTATGGGTTTTATGGAGCTCCTTAATGACATTTTAAACAATTTTATCAGTTAAGGTACTAATTTGTGTGACATATATGATTTTCATTAGCCCTTTTATCTTTGATGAAATGTATAGGTACAAATGTATTCCTTTTTAAGGTAATTATTAAATAATAACAATAGCTCTAAAGAGGAAATAGGTTTAGGGTTTCACATATAGTTCATATTTACTATAACTCACTCATAGTACAGTCTCAGTACCTTTTTGAATCAGTATAGGATCAAAATAGCAAATCAGTTCTACGTGAAATCAATATTCTCAAGTTATTGACTTCCCAAGTATCAGTATAATCTGTTATGTCAACCAGTCATTTTTTAACAACTGATTTCTATAATAACCTCAATATTTAATCTTATTTAGAAATTGCCTATTCCAAGGGCTTCGTTGGCTCAATATCTTTTAAATTAACCCACCAAAAACTAAACCCACGTGCTGTAGTTTATGTTGTATACTAAGACTCTACCATTAAAAAGGAAGCAGAAATTTTTGGCATAGTTTACCTACATTCTGATGACATTTAAAAGAATGAATAGAAAAAAAAAAGAATGAATAGAGTGATTTCTAGTGTCTCCTTTTAGATTAAGTCATTCCAAAGCACAGAGACAATGAGAGGCTTCCTTTACTTTCCTCTTACATGTAAACGCATTTGGCTGCTTGTAATCTATCAACAGAGTTTGTTTGCTGTGTGAAAGCTGATGTAAAAAGCTTTCTAAGTAGGCTTACCTGCTACTACTAAGGGAATCTACTTCTACAAATTCACATCCCTTTACTTGTATGAACCATGCCTTGTGTGACCATGCTCAACACAAGGTCCGTTCATGAGATGTTAGGGAGAGTCAGAATGAGTAAGACAACTCTGCTCATTTGGGGTAAGCATTTGGGGGTGACGCTGGCGTGAGCACTATAAGAAGCAGCAGTAAACTGGCCTTTTATCAAGGTGAGGTGGGTAGTACATAATATACATTTGTAGCTCTTTGACAGTGGTACAGGTTTTTGCCACACTAGGTCATGGGGGTTCAGCTTTCCTAGTTGTAAGGGAATGAGCTTTGTTTAACTGTATGTGTGTACACGAATATATGCATGTTTTGTTTGTTTGCATGTATTTTGGAGTGAATATACCATGGTAGATAGAAAAGGGATGTGCCTTCCAGTCTGTTCCCAGACTAAACCTTACATCATTGTGCTTTACTTCATCTCTGAGCATTAAATTATGAAGACAATTATGCCAATTTGCAAATAAATAATACTCATATTTGGAGTCATTTTGCACTAAAATAACATAATAATGCAAATAGGCTTAAATAATACAGGCTTAAAATGGAGTTTATGCCCTCAATTCTGAGAAGAAGAGAAAGTGGCTAACGTTATCCAGACTATGAATCAACACAGTCTAAATTCAACAATGCATCACATTGTGTAAGTAGACTTGACAAAAGGGGAGGAAGCAATTCTTATTTAACATTTTTTCAATGGTGGGAGACTATAGTTAACATAGACTTGGTTCAACAAATCACAATAATTAGCTGTAGTGTTTTGTATCTTTATTATTCAGTAAGGATTGTTTTTTTTTTTTAAATCTACCTCATCACCCACTCATTGCCCCTAAATAGGGCAAAAATAAATAATAATTTTTAAAAAACCTATGTTCTATGATATACAATAGGTTTTTTTTAAGCCAGGTTGTGTTGATAATCAGTAACACTTTGCCCTGGCATTTCCTTTACTCTACCTTGATTAATTGCTTAGCTTCAATGGCTAGAGCTCTGTCTTGCTTGTAGAGTACACCTTCTAGATTAGAACCATGTAAATCTGCTTTACCAACATTACTCCATCAGCGTGTTACTAGTTGCAAATCCACAATAGGCTACAAAATATTTCATAGGATGTTTCATTTCTGGGTGGTCTTTCAAACCAACATCAAAAGTAGAGTTTCTCTTGGGGTTTTGTAGTTGTTTTGTTTCGTTTTTTCCAAGTGGTGCATGTGAATCCATGAAATGACTTGACCATTTCGTTTTGGAGTCATGTAGAAAATCTAACAAAAATACCCTGGCTCAGTTCTTTCTTTTCCCATGTTCCCTAGGAAGTGGGCTGGAGGGGAGTGTCTTCACATGGGTCTAGCTGCATTCTCAGTGCACCGATTTTATGAAGATACCAGAGCTGGAGAAATTCCTCTGGCATGGCATGGAAGCCAGAAAAGGGCAAGACGTTATCATAATAGTGGTGGCTGATGGGCTGCTCATGCATATTCACAGAGAAGGGCCAGAAACCATAGATGGCTACCTCTTCACAGAGTCCCAGAGCCGCACTCACCAAAAAGAGTCCTGTGGACAGGCGCTTGGCATGGATTCCCCTATTTTTCCAGAACTTTCCAATGCTACGCAGAAAGTTGGGGTTGGCAAAGAGCACTGTTTGATTGGCACCAACATCTGACAGTGTATAGTAAACCCGGAGGGATGGCTCTGTTCCTGTCTTCATAGAAAAGGCAGGCATGTAGATGTAACTGTGGTTATAGATTTTCATGTTGTCCACAAATGTCTTCCTGGACCATAGCAGATTCTGAAACCTATTAAATAGAAGAAGAAGTTAATTAAACCTGGAGAAAAAGAACTCATCAAAACCCACTCTATTCTTCTGATGGCCCTGAAGTTCACATTATTTTGGCGGGGGTGGGAGGGAAGGGAGAGGACATGAAAACTATGAAAAATGCTTCATTTGTTTTTAAAATCTTCCTTGCTTGGGGCGCCTGGGTGGCTCAGTTGGTTAAGCATCTGACTTAAGCTCAGGTCATGATCTCACAGTTTGAGCCCCGCATCAGGCTCTGTGCTGACAGTGTGGATGGATCTTGGAGCATGCTTCAAATTCTGTGTTCTCCCCCCACCCCCGCCCCTCATCTACTCAATTCTCTCTCTCTGTCTCCCAAAAATAAATAAAAATTTTAAAAAATTAAAATCTTCCTTTATCTTACCAATTATCTCTCATTAAGTAGCTTGGCTTTTGCCAAACCTCACATCTTAAATTCAGATTAAGATTCCTTAATGAAATTCCCTCTGAAAAAAAATGCACTATACACTTTGTTCTCCCAGAATTTATTTGCCTGGAATGTAAAAGTGGTTTAATGCTCATGAATATACTAAGATTGTGGGTTGTTGGATAGAATTTGGATAAAAACTACTTGTGCAGTCGGATACAAGCACAGGACTGGTTTCCTCATCTGCAAATCAAAGGAGTGACCTTGAAGATAATTCTTCCCATTGAAATTCTATGAAAATAGAAGTATTCAGATTAACTGATGCTATATTATAACTATAATATTACACTGAAAAAGAAAGACTTGTTACTATTATAAAATGATGCTGACAGAGTTGACCACAATGCTTGCTCCAAAGAACTCTGCTTTCCTATGTTCTTTCAGTTCTTTCAGCCCAATAAAGAGGATATTCAAATAAAACTGATGGTATACATCCTATGTGTCAGGCACTGGGGAATTAAAAATTTAATGACCCCATTTTTGTTCTCAAAAACTTCAAGTCCAATTGTAGGAACAAAAATATAAATGAGTACAACATAATGTTCTAAATGGAACAGTTGATATTTGTATAAAGTACTGTGGAATACAGATGAAAAAATAATTAATTCTGCCTTGAGAGAGGAGTGGAGTTTGAGAAAGCTACAAGCAGGGGATGACATTTACATGCACCTCCTGTGGGGAACAACATGAAGAATAGCAACTAAACTAGAAGAAACATTTGGGTCACAGGCAAGGATAAAAGTGTACTGACACAATAATGAAGATCCTATTTCCCTTGAAAGTGGAAGATGGGAATGGTGGATGAGGTGGTTGAAGATAAGACATGATGCAAAAAACCTCGTGTGCCTCTTACTGTGTTTGGACTTCATTCTGTAGCAATGGGGAAGCTTTCCAGCAGTGAGTACTCACAGCATTTACTATTTACATTTCATCATTTATGGAGTTGTCAGTCTGTGTCAAAAAAAGGTAACTCTGGTGATCTGGGGAAGGAAGAGGCTGGTGACCTGGAGACCAGTTAGGAGTTTGTTGATATTGATCAAGTATAGAAAGAGAAAAAAGACAATGAATTACACTAGGGTCTTGCCACTTTTGTTTTCTTTCACACAGGGGAGTTACCTATCTCACGTTATGTGCAGGTAGAGCAGAAGCATCTAAGAATAGAATGAAGCCATAACATGTTGGCAGGGTTCATCATAAATATGTGAAACTAAAATTCTGAAAAAATAAATCCACAGGATCTCATGTAGCAATCAGTGTAATTAACTCTGCCAAGAAAGGAGTGTTCCTTAGGCAATTTTCCAAAGAAGGAAAATTCCTCAGGTTTTCCTCATGTCCTTGATTCAGCAGCCTGCTTTAGCAAATTTCTCTGGGGCCTGACAAATAGAAAAGAGATAAAAGGGTTTGTAAGTATACTTACTTTATCCTAGAAGAAATCATGGAACCATATTCTGGAGCTGGACCAGCCTCACCAACACAAATTCCTGCCTCCCAGTTCTACTAAGCTGTCCTTAGTAATTCTGATGAGAGTGATCCAGGATGCTGAATTTTTATCCAGCACTCCCTGGTGATTCTGATGCAGGTGTCCTATGGATAGACTTATTTAGAAGATCAAAGCCATTCATGTAAGCTGTCTAGCTCTCTACATCTATCCCAACATCTCTTTCTTTGTATTTTCTCATTTTACCCTTATTGCAATTCTAACAGGGAGAAGGGCTTCCTCTTCCCTTCTGGGTCTTGGAACAAACCATTTCATGCTTTCTAAAGTACACATGTTCTAAAGTGGATCTCCTCTCTTTAAAACATTTAACCTCTCTGTTTCTACTGTATTATTCCTTTCTATCTTCTAAATACGGTTAGAACTTAATATGAGACAATCCGTCATATGCTTATATTGGTTCCCAAACTACATTCTAGATTTTCATTTCGCCATATCAACATCGTAGAGCAATTAGCCTACTTTTATTGGTTCCCTTCCTTGCTTCCATTTCCTCCTTACTGCTGTGCAGAATGTTCCTATTCTACAATGCTCTGCTGGCAAACGGAAGTTATACCTATTTTTGTAGTGGGCCACATACTAATTAGAATTACAGACAGCTCCAATAAAATCAGGGAAATTGATTTTGTGTTCCTTGTTTTAAAGCTGACTGATTATTCTTGAAGAGGGAAGTCTTCCTTGAGTTTTAACTTTGAAAAAGAACACACATCTTGAATTTACTATAGCCTTAATTTTTGACAGTATTAAAGAAGCAGCCTACCTATACCATTTTATTATTTTTACCTACCCCATTCTTTCACAAATGACATTATTTAAGAATTCAATCCAATTCAATACTTATTTATGGTACACCTAATATATTTAATGTTATCCTGATCAAGAGGCTAATAGGGGTGGCTTGAATTTTACTAACTTATTACAAAAATGCAACTAGAATTATAAAAGAGTAGTGCTCCAGGTTATCTTTCCAGCCTCATACTCAGATACTGTACACCCTCACCCTATGCTCCTGCCATTCCTGTCCATGCACCTGTCCAATTTTTGGCATTGACAGTTTCCTTTTGGCTTATTCATTCATTCCCCTGATGAAGTTCTGCTTAAGCATCAAGACTCAAGCTTCTCCTTCTAAAACTTTTTACTTCCTTCCAAGTTAAGCTTTCAAAGGAGTCTTCTTGGAACTTCTCAGTGTGAACTGATTCTACTCTCCAAGACTGTGTGCTCCTTGAAGACATGAGACAAATCCTATTCCTCTTTTGATTTTTACAACTTAGCTCACAATAGTTGTGTACTATATAAATGGAAAACTATTAAATTGAAAAGAGAAGAAAATGAAGTGAGATTGGCCAATGAATTATTAAAAATAGAAATGATTAAATACATAATGAATGTGGTCATGAAATAGAAAAAATATATAGACAAAAATAGCAAAGCACAGAAATACAGCACACTCTATAAATAAATTTAATACATGATAATAAAGAGAAAATCATTGAAATTTTAAGCAATTAGTATCAAGCTAACTACTTAACAATTAGAAATTTTAAGGGGGAATAGATTCATATTTGAAAAGAAAATGTCAAAATAATTTCAAGATAAGTAAGACAAGTAATTTAAAGTGTATTCACAACTGTGAATTTATCAGCCATTTGCAAAATATTTTTCTACAAAGGAAAATATTGACAAAATTGATTATGTCAAGATGTGAAATTTCATCACCATGAAAATAAGATCACTAAAATAAAAAGGGAATGATAACACTGGGGCGCCTGGGTGGCTCAATCAGTTAGCATCTGACTCTTGATTTCGGTTCAGGTCATGATCTCCTGGTTTGTGAGATCAAGCCCCACATTGGGCTCTGTGCTGACAGTGTGGAGCCTGCTTGGGATTCTCTCTTCCTCTCTCTCTGTGTCCCCCCCCCCCACAAAAAAAACTTAAAAAAAGGGAATGATTCTGAAAAAATATTTTCAACAAATATAAATATAGAAGCTCAATATTGATACTATTAAAGAGTCTAAATATATTGATATACTGATATAAAAATGGACAAAAGCATAGATAAGTAATCCAAAAGGAACTGCAAGTAATAAGAGGTGTTAAATGTTCAGCTTCAGTTGCCAGTCAAGATTCAAACTGAATAGAATAAGGAACATTAAAGGCCCAGTTCTCGCCTCTTACAGCAAATCTCTATACATGAAAGAAAAAATATTTTTAAAGATCTGTATCCACCTTGAAAAAAAGAAAAGAAGGTAAACCTTCAATGAATCTCCAAATCTGAGTTACCTCTGAAAAACAGAGTGGTTATAGAAAAAAACCAGAGCATAAGCTAATATGCTGAGCATTGCTCTAAAAGGTAGTAGTGCCCCATGCCTAAAGGCAGGAAATACTGAGAAGTTAGGTACTTGGAAAAATCAACAAATTTATTATTCAGATTATGGGCAGGAGAAACATTCAAGTAGATTGAATCCTAATATCTTGCACTGGTCAATTATCACCGTGGGTAGTAGGAAGAGAATATCAGCTTCTTGGGAGAAACAGTGACTCTGTTCCTGAGTAGAATATTGACACTGGTCCAAGAGAAAGACATATAGATAATAACATTTGGGCGTCACCCAGAAGAAAGCCACCTTGCTACCATCTCAACCAAGGATAAAGCCTACCTGTGACAGGTTTAGTCTCTGCACAGAGCTTTCAGTTGCTAAACAAGTACAGATAGCTAAGATCACAAGATATTGAGGGAAAGTCTCCACTATGAGATCAGAGAACAAAATGGAAGAATAAAAGAACTCAGAGGAAACCAATATCATTCAAGGGGCAGAAGAAAACTCTTAAGATCTGTAATGGTTTATTCAGCAATATTAATCATTTACTGCATCCATTAAGTAAGAGTAGGATGCTACAAACAGAAAAAGAATATTTAGGTAACAAGAAACAGCTATTGGCAAATTAAAATGATAACTGATGCATTCTGGTAAAGGAAATCTTCAGGAAAACAGCTATAGAGCAGCCTACAAGCCTATCAATCAGATTCTAGTGGAAGGAA